ATAGAGCAAATATGGGATGTCCCCGTAAGTCTGATAAAACTGCAACTTTTTGTTTGAGTCTCAACTCTCCCAAATGCCTCACAAATCCTGCATATCATTTATTTTTAGCGAAATTGGAGCATAAGTGACTAACTCAGATACATAGTCATCTTGCAGACTGTCTCCCCCTTGTCTTTGTAAGTCCTCAGCCCACTGTCTTACTTCTGAGTTTGGAACTATTTGATTTGAACACTTTTTATCCATAGATGAAGGTTTTCCAATGAGACGATTAACACAAGGATCAATGCCTTTTATCCTGTATGATGCTATGCAAACAGAAGAAATAAAGAACACACAAAAAGAAATGAATTAGTTCACATAATAAAGGAAAAAATTAATTTAATAATAATGTTTACCTAAATATCTTTATTTAAACATGCTTTCTTCATACTTTAAATAATTTAAATTCACATGCAATTTATTCAGTAAGAAAATAAATAAATAAATAAAAAGGAAAAATTATAATTCATTTCTCCTGTGTGTACACCTATTTTGGACAAAATTTCGGCATGGCTTCAGATCGGAAGAGTTTCTAGGGTTTATTATATGCAGGGTTTCAGATCTAAGAATAAAGGTACCCGAATCGTCCTTGTTAGTGCCCCCTTGGGCTGCTAACCCTCAATCCTAATCCATCACAGACTAAAGTGGATCGAGTTCAATTCGAGGGGATACACTTCTCTATGCATGACACGGAGAATAAATTCCCATGAAGACATAGATCATATGAACCCCGAAAGCTACTTGCTAGGTCTGATACGGAGAATAAATTCTCACGAAGACGTCGCTTTCACTCCCACTTAAAATGGACAAGCTTGATTAAAAAGCTTATGTTATGCAATGCATGTGTTTGTGTGTAAGGAGAAATGTTCAAACCTCTGACAGACAATAAATAATAAAATTTAATACTTGAAAAATAAAATAAAACATTAATAAAATAATATAAATATTATGAAAATAATAAATATATATAATTTTTTTTAAAAATAAAGAAATTAAAAATTAAATATATGAATTTTTAATTTCTAATTAATAGAGACAATTTATAATTGATTTTAAAAGCTTGACCATTCCCCAACGGAGTCGCCAAGTTTTCGTAATCAGTTTTCGTCCGGGCACGAATTTTTAACTTGGTGGGAAAAATAAAACGAATAAATAAATGATTTTGATTTAAAAAATATTTTGGGAGTCGCCATTGACTTTTTGGGGTTAGGTAGGTCAAATACCTGAAAAAATAATCTTTTAAAATAGTTTTGAATAAAACATAATTTAAAAGATAAAATTGATCTGCGTATAACCAAAAATTTTAGTAAAACAGGATTCGTGGTCGATTATGTTTAGGGAAAGATTAGCACCCCTATAACGCCCAAAATTGGTACTTTATTAATTATAAATTGTCTCTATTATTGGAAATTTAAAATTTCAAAGATATAATTAATTCATAATATTGTTATTTATAATTTATAATTTTATGAAAATATATTAATTTAAATATAAATAATATATTTATTTATTTAGAAATATCAGAAAAGAGCTTCTAGGTGTTTTAAGACAGCTCTTTTCTTTGATATTAAAAAATGAATAAAATGTTTCTTAAAAATTAGTATATTTTATAGGATAAAAAATATCAGAAAACGGACTTCTAGGTGCTTTAAGACAGTCCTTTTCTTTAATATTATTAAAATAGGATTATATTTTTTATATAAAAATAATTTATATAAAGGAAAAGTAAAATAAAATATATATTATTTCTTATATATATTTATAATAATAATATTTTAAATATATTGATAATAAACATATAAAATTAAAACAATAACTAAAATAAATGAAATGAAATTAAAAATAATAAACTAATAATTTAAAGTTAATGACTAAATTAAAATATATTGGAATTAAGCATCCTAATTCGTAATTAATTACTTGAAATTTAAGTGGCTAAACATGCTATTTACCCCTTTATTAATTTAGTGACTAAATTAAAATTATGTAAAATTTGAACATCAAATTAAAATAAATTAAAACATGCTCTTCATGATTAAAATATTAATTTCCAAAATTAAAGGACTAAATCTGTTATTTACTTAAAATATATATAATTACAGTTAAGGACTAAAATACATGTATGTAAAATTCAAAAACCGAATTAAAAGAATATAAAATTTGATTTAGTGACTAAAATATAAAGTTATAAAACTGATGGGATGCGGATGGGGTTTACCCATATGCGTAAATTACGCATATACCCCCACCCAAAACGGTGTAAACGACACCGTTTTGGATGGGATATATAATCCCCAAATGGGTGGCCCGTAGGGCCGTCACTCTCATTTCTCCTCTTCTTCTTCTTTCTCTAACTGAGAGAGAAGAAGACTCTCTCGCTTCTCTCTAGCTTCCCTCACCAGAGGGAAGTCGGTTATCGACCGACAGCCGTCTGCCGCCACCGTCTCCGGTGGCCGGAAAGTTTCATTTTACATGAAAATAAAGGCCTTCTCTTCCTAAGGCCAAATCTGACTTTAGTTTACCCTAAAAAACTCCTAATCAGAGTAAATCTATGAAAATACCTTTGGTATTTTCTGTTTTCCGGCGATGTTTGGCTTCCGGCGACGATCGAGGCTCCAAGGGTAAGTTTCCTTTCTTCTCTTTTTTTTTTGGTTTCTTTGGTTGCTTCCTGTTCTTACTTTTTTTTTCTCTCTATTTCGCAGGTTCAGTGGCTCTTATAGCCACCACTGAACCTCCTTCAGACCGGGTAATATGGAGGTTTTTGGTGAGTCACCAAACTATTGTGGTGACTCACCTTGTAGCTTGCGACGTGGGCGGCTGTGTTAGGATCTCTGGAGGCTTCGGTTGGCGTCGTGGCAGCAGAGGTTGAGGTGGTGGCAGCAGCTGACTGATGAACGGCGGCCATGTGGCCCTAGGGTATCATAACCCTAGGGTTTTTGCTGGGACCATCTATACTGTTGGATCAGGGTTAGATCCAACGGTGGAGAAGTAAGGCGATTGGAAGCATCTGGAAACCCTACAAGGGTTAGGGTTTCTTGGGTCTGGTGGGTCTGAACTGGATTGGGCCTCTAGGATTTGTAAAACGGGCCTTCGGGTCTGGTTGTATTTTGTAATTGGGCCAGTATGTTTGTGCCTAAAATATGTAATAATTATTTATTATTTAATAATAATAATAATAATAATAATATATAAATAATATTCAAATGAAAAAAACGAGTATCTTCAGGATCCATGACTTCAAGATTAAAATTCTACATGAGTTACACAATCCTATTTCATTGTTTATAATATAACAATACAATGCCTGCAATACCCCAATCAGAAAATGAACATCATTGAACAAATCTCCAGTGATCAATTAATGTAACAACTAACAACTATACAGATGATACCTGAGCACGGGCAGTGGTAATGCATCTCCTCTGGTTTTCAAGTTCTCTATCATCGATGCCATAATAAGAAGGCTCTCTAGCTGCCACACTTAGGTTTTGTCCAGTTCATCCACCTTTCTGTCAAGAAAAAAGGTACATTTACAAGCAGTTGCAAGCTGGATTAAAATTGTTCAATTGACCCAACAAAGATAAAGCAAAACCCATCAATCATCAGAACATTAATATTTCCTATCTCAAGGATCCAGTTCAATTAAAGAGGAAAGCTTAATTCCGATACCTGCCATTTGATGTTCTCACATTAACAAGTAGCTCTCTTGTGAGATGTACTTGTTCTCCAGTATCGGGAGGAATCCTTTCCTGCTGATGAAAACTTGATTGCAACTTATCAATCTAAACCAACAAAAAGAAAACATCAAAAGCGTCATCTAATTGAAAATCCCAAAAATATTATTAGTTTTCCTTTAACACGGCTAAAAATCAAAGACCCAACTTACGGAATCTCGAGTCTCATCTTTAACGATATAAAATGGATCTTGAGCTTTAGACATCTTGAAAGTAGAGGACGTAACTCATATCATGCAAACATGCAAAAAAAAATCATTCTTTAGCAATAATGCAGGTTTAAGAGAACATTAGCGTAATTTTTTTCATGGTTTCTTACCTCTGCCACCAAATCTGAGGAAAACCCTGTAGGGAATATTTTTTTTTCTCTTTTTTGACAGTTTTGTAGGACAACAACTACGAGGGAATATAATTGATTGTAGGATATTAAACATTGTGAGCAAAATTCGACTCGATTTGAAAAATTAAATTTTTTTATTCGATTTGACTCAAAAAAAACTAAATTCTAATCGATTTCGAATTACAATTTCATAAACTCGACTTGATTCAAAAAAAAATTAAATTTAAATTGAGTTGTAAAATACAACTCGAACAACTCGAATTTTTTAATAACCGGAGAATTCATATAAAAAATATGAAGAAATATATTTGTATTGTATATATGGTTATAGAAAATCACTTAAATTTGAATTAAATAATATTATAAATATTTATAATTAAATTTAAACAGAAACTCGAAAAATTAACTCGACTTGAATTTTATAAACTCGTCTCGAAAAAATTTCAAATCAAGTCTAAGTTGTAAAATAGGACACGTCAACTCGAATAACTCAAAATTTTTCGACTCGACTTAACTCGATCGAACACTCATCCCTAACAACAAATCACCGACATGTCTTTTTTAAGGACTGACTGGTTTGACAATTAAGGCATTTAAGATTTTTAGTTGCATGTAACCATCTTCGGTCCAAAAATTAACATGAAACAAGAAAACAAAACCAGGTCAATGGGAGATGCAAATTGGGCGGAAAAGGCCAAAAATGGTCTCTGCAAGTGTAAACGGAAAAGCCTTCTTCATTAAGCTTTATGCCTGTTTCCGATAATGGCATTTCCCTGGCTGTTTGGATCGCAATCCGATTAAGCTTTTTTTTTCCCATTTAATTCTCCATCATGTCCTAATTTAATTAAAAGATTAAGATTTACAATCACACAAAAGAATGCACGATAGAATAAAAATAGTTGCATGATAATTGATAAAAACTAATTAAGCCTGTAGCAAGTATTTGTAGAAGTTTTATGTGGCAGTCCTACTACATATATCAAACATTATATATAAAATAAGGTCAAAGAATATATAAATATTATGCAAATGCCAGCTAGATATCTTGTTTGCGATCAAGAGCATGGTCTCATGATGGGCAAATCTTCCAAAGCATCCGACTCCTTAATCTTCAAGGAAAGAAGACATTCTCCTTTCCTCAGCAAAATTCACAATCTGATGGTTCATTTGACTATTACAAAGCAACAGCTGCCACAACAACAACCAAATGGAGCACATCTTTCCCATTGCTGCTATTTTCTTTCAAGTCTCCCTTTGCTTGTATCAGAGGTTAATCGAATCAACGAGGATCCACCAACCAGATTTGAGATTAGCTGAGGTGGGCTTTCTCTGTTATGGTGCTGAAACCCACCATCACCGTATGAAACAAAAGGTGGATTGGTGTACTCCACAAGACCCGAGTCGCTACTAGTCTTAGGCGCCATGATTGGACTTTGATGCTGGCTTCGGTTCTTAAGCTTTCTATCCAGCGCATACTTATCACTGCTACTTGGACCGCATTGTCTGGGTTGAGTTTGGTAAAAGACTTTGGAAACCACTAACTCCCCATCTTTCTCTTCTTCGTTGTTGCCGAGGTGATATTGATGCATCACCCAGTTTGTCTTCTCGGGCTTCCTTTGCCTGCCATAATTGGTGTAGAGAACCAATATCTTTTTGAAACCCTTCACTATCCCACCAGCCGAAACTGCTCGGGTCTTGCCCGTTTTGTGCCACCTCGTTTCGTTCCCTTCTTCGTCCGTGTGCACTTTTCTTCTCTTCCTTGTCCCCGTTGTGTATGCCTTGGAGGGTCGATGAAAGAAGTGTCGAATTTGGCCATCCTTGCTTACTCCTGCACCATTAGGTCTATTTAGAATAGAAAATAAAATAAATTTTCATAAGAGACAAATGTAAAATTTTATGTCGGGCACTAACTTAAGACGTTATAATAGAATTTTAGAGGTGTAAAATTAAAGATAGAAAATATAAGGAAAATACCTAAACTATAGGGGAATTTGAAATTTCTAAAGGTACAACTCGACCCAAAACCTGTCAATCATCCTTAATTATAATGTTTTGTCATCATGAATACTTTGAAAGTAACAAAATACTATAATGATCATTGGATGATAAAGGGCCATGCCTAAATATTAGGATGAAAGTAGCAAGGGGGATATCTAAGCGGCCTAATCACATGTCCCTAAGAAAATATGTGGTGGTCGAAGTAGAACCAAAGGATCTCACGTAATTAGGCCACCCTAGAAACATGGTTGGCAGCTAGTATTAACCAACTTAGGTACTTTCCTTGCAATACACTTAACTGGATTCTCAAAAAATGCAGTAAGGCTTTACGTTTTCATCTAAAATTCATCTACGCCAGCATAGATCATTGCAGGCGCCCAAACAAAATATATGTATGCAAATTGATAGATAGATAGATAGATCATTGCAGCCCTAGAAAAATAGAAAATTAAACACAAAAATGAAAAAGCAAATTATTTAAAGAAGAAAATTTGAGGTAAAAGTAAAGCATCAAAGTACCTGGAAGCTTCTCTGGATGAGTATAGCAAATCCCTTTTTCTCCTTCCAGCATTGGAATAAACTCATCAAGCAAGGGATGAAGCTTGCGCAGATCAGATATTACTTTTGCCTCTAAATGCTCTAAAATTTCTTGGTCAGTCGGATCGAACTTCACCCCCGCTGGTAACCCTGGCAAATCATGAATTCCCGTCTAACCCCACAAAAAGTAATAGTATTTTAGTATATCAATCTATTGGGGAACAAAACAATTAAAAGTAAAACTGTAATGTTATGATTAAAGCATTTACCTGATCTTGGTAGGGTATGTTATAGCCACATGAAGGGCAAACAATGGTTGAGATTTCATGGATTTTCAGGTAGGGAGCGGAAGTGGTGGCGGCTACTGTTACTAAGTTTAGAGTTCCTGTGTCGTCTTCTGGGTTATTGCACCATGACATGTCTCCGTTTCTTCTGCTGATGGTCTTAATCCCATCACAAAGCTGATTTCTGTTTCCACCGTCTTCCCCACTTGTCAAACACCCACATACGAGAATTCTAGCAAGATTTACAACATGAAACAAACCAATAAATTAAAAAAAGAACACGTAAAGCAAAAATTCTCTTTTAGAGCACGTTTTCAGTTACCCACTTTCTCTTTCTTGGTGTTTCGCAAAGGAACTTAATTCTTCCACGCTTTTTTTAATTCCCTTTCTCAAATTTTCTGCTTATGATTGAGAGGATATAGCTGCCGTCTGCTATATCCTCCTCGGGATTGGAAGAAGACGAAAAGGAAAAAGACGGAGAGGGTACAAGAGAAAGGATAGAATTCATTTTATTTATTTTTCAGAAAAATAATATAAAAAACTATAATAAATGTTGCTTGGACGCTAAGTTTGGTTATGCTAATGTAGACACGACTGTATAACAGAATAAATGTAGTGTTGGACCTTGCTTTCCGGCTTGGTCTAAACATTTAAACCATTTTAGTTACTTAAACACTTCAAATAAATCAGTTTAATTCCCAGTAAGTTTGAGATTAATCTCAACTTTATTTATTTTATTTTAATACTTCATTTATATACCAAAAATAAACAATAATAATAATAATGAGAGTTGGGTGGAGAAGACAAGCAACAGGTAACATTTTACCTCATGAGAAAGCTCTTCTAATTAGCTCCAACGTCAAGCTGGAGTATTCTTAAAGCTATATGACGAATAAATAAACAAACAAATAAAAGGTGAAGTTATACAATATCGTAGCATAGAAAATACGAAACAACAAATTTGAATGTAACAAAATATCGGTGTTTTGTTTGGCACCAAACTTGTTGTATAGTAACCATTTCTTCACGTAAACTTCTCACGTGTTAGGCAACTCATCTTTTCTCTTTATATCTCTTTTAGGTTTACTTGTTTATTTTCGGACAAGATTTGCTGCAGACACTTCAATCAATAATTGTATATTTTGTACTATTAAGTTTTATTTATATTATTTATTTTGTTTTTCTAGTGTACACTATTTTGTTTGAGACAGAGGAGAGCTTGTCCGATAAGCCACACAACAGCATCAAACTTGTTCATTAAGCTTTCAACTTTAACGCAAGGCATGGGGGTTTTATTTGTAAGGATATGCTTTCCCAGATACAACCGCACAAATAATTGTCCCCTTTCCCATATGTCTTCTTACAGGAAATCCAATGGGGGAAAAGTGCATAAAACCACATAAGAGAATGATTGTTTGGTTTACCAAATGATTAGCAACCCAATTAAGCTATATATTAAAGTTTGGGGAAGGGGACGACCAATATCATATTAGCATCATTTTCAAGCATTTGAGTCCCACTCCTGGCTCTCAGGATTCACACTTTTTAATTTCAAACCACTTTTTTTTTATTTATAAACTAATTATTAAGTCTTCAATGGGAATTGGGAATCAACTTTCTTACAACTTCCGACTTCTTCCGCTACAAATTATTTCTGAAACCATATGTTGCCCTTAAAAGGTAACATAAATATTATCAGTTCTTTATTTTAATTATTAGAATTAAGCTTATATGCAATATGCTAAATGATGATGATGGCATCCGGTCCAACGCCAGATATGAAACCACTTCAATATATATATGTATACATATGGTTTCGAAATTTCATTATTAATTTTTTCTTATAAATAGCCCATCTAAATTGAAACTATCAACCATATAGATATATTATTTTGATTTGAATTGATTAGAAACATTTGTTATTATATGTATGTATCGTTATTCGTTAATCAAATTGGATTTAGCCTCAAGTACTATAGTTTGTTTACTCGGGCTAAAAGTTTTATGAGCCTTACAAAATTGGTTTTTTCCCATATTCAAGGCGGGTAAATTATTTGGTTCAATAGTTCAACAGAGATTTTAATTTATAATCTACGATATTTTTTTTACAGTAAACATTGAACTCGTCACGTTGAGATGACGAGTTTGTTTGAAAATATTTTTTATTGGCCCCAAATATGTGATTTCCATATGTGCCAATATTTCAATATTTTCAATAGGACTCGCACTTTGACATGACGAGTCCACTTAGAATTTATTTTTTTTATATTCATTAAATAATTTAAAAAAACATGTAAATTTCATTATGTTGAGGTGACGAGTTTGCCTTGAATTAAAAAAAAAGTATTTGTTGTTCATCAGACAACTTTGAAATTTAAAAATATTAGTCGTTCAAACTTCTCACGTTGACGTGCCGATTTTTAACGGATATAATTTAATAAATATTAATCAAAAAATAATATTAAAAAATTTAAATAAATACAAATAATTTTATTACAAACTAATACAATGCATAATAAAACTTATTCATATTTTCGTAGTTCTTAGCGATGCCAAGGAGTGATCGAATGATAATGGCACAGGGATTGTCGAGATGTCGGGGTCGTCAGCCTTGATCCTCTTCGTCTTCATCTTCGTTTGCTTCTTGAATAGGAGGTGTATTGAACATCACTCCACTTTGAGATGCGCCTTCGAAATGCAATGACAAACTTATGGTATTTGACGCCATCATTGTTGTCATTGACTCGATTTGGATATGTTGTTGACCATATATAATATGATCCATTTCACCCTCACCCGCATATTCAGTCGAAGATGCTTGAGTGCCTTGCATTGCTTCCCATGAACCTCCAACCTAATTAACTGAGTCTCTGTTGAAGTATGATATCGAGGATAAAAACCAAAATTGGTCTGAGATGCAAAATAATCGACAGAAGTAGAAGCCGAAGAAGAAGATGATGATGATTTCTTGGCCTTTGTGAATTTGGACTTTCCTTGTTCACATTCTTCCCTCTCTTCTAATGTCATTAAATATGGTTTCCCATTTGCTTCATAATTTAGGAGGTAGAGAGAAATGTCGAAATCAAGGTCTGCGGGTGTAATCTCGTAACGCATGTAACATCCCAAACTACGGGTTAGTGACTAAATTGTAAAATTTTAGAATTTGATGATTAAAGTGGAAAAGTTGAATAGTTCAATGACTTATTTAAAAATAATTCCTGAAGGGTTATTAGTAATTATTAAAAGAATGAGAGGGAAAAATGGTCATTTGATAGGAACGATATTTTTTTCCTATATATGAATGAATCACGTGGGGAAAGGGGGAAGTTATCTTCTTCTTCTTCATTTCTTCTTCTCCATCGTGAGCAAGAGAGCAAAGGTAAGATTTCTTAATTTTTGATTATTAGCTGAATTTTAAAGGTTAGGTTTTGATCATTAGATGGTAATTAAGCTTAAGGAAAACTTAAGTTGTCTTATAATCAAAAGATGAAGAAGTTATAAGAGATTTAAGAAAATGAGTTTTTTTTATGAAATCATGGAAAAGAGTTGATAAGTTGAATTTGAAGTTAAATTTGACTTGTCATCATGATAATTAAGAAATATGAAGTGTTAGAATTGTATTTAGAATATATTGAAATTTGAGTATGATTCCTGAATTACATATGAGGAATAAAATTTTTAAGTTATAGATGATTTTCATGGATATAAGTTGGTTTAAGTAATGGTAGTTGAGTTTAATGATATGATAGGGGTTTAAAATAGAAGAATTGAGTGAAGAATTAATGATTTTTGGGCTTAAAGTATAATTTCTGGGCAGAGGGAATCGATACCTATGAAGGGGAATCGATTCCCCTTCTGGAACGAAAAATTTCCAGTATGTTCAGGGGGTATTAATTCCCCCTGGGGGGTATCGATTCCCCCCTAAATGAAAAATGGAATTTGATTCATTAAACCGGTTTAAGTTATTAACATCAAGTTTAAAGTTTAGGCTTCTGATAGTTGTTTTGAAATGATATATTTATGTAGATATTGAGCCTAAACAAGTTCCGGAATAATCAAAGAATTAGGATCGAATCAAAGCAAGGCTAAGGTGAGTGCAATTTAATTGTACTTATGCGATCGAAAAATATTGGCTTGCGATGAGCCAATGACGGAGTTACTATGGTAAGAAGTGACTCCTAAAATGTTATATGATTTTTATGAGTACATTTTAGTTTATAAGATTATAAGAAATTGGACTTGTGATAAGTCTATTTCAAATAGTTATAGTGTATGGAGTATTGATTATAAGGATGTGAATGACATGAATTGTATACTTGATTATATGAACTGATATGTGCTATATGATATATGTGATGCATGTGAAGCATATGAGAACAAGAGATGACATGATTTGTATTATATATGAATTTGTGAGTAAAGGCATATATATAAATATAATTTGTATGCATTATATGTCATGTGAACATAAGAGAATAAAGCATGTTATATGATATGAGGTTAGGTGATGAAACATAGATGAAATATATATGATGATATAAGAATAAGACATGAATCAAATGATATATATGTTTATGTGAATCCATGCAAAGTGATACGAGCTATGTGACATATGAATATGAATTCATATGAAAAGTGACATGAAAGTAAATTACGTGATTATATGCACATGTGATATGTGATCATAAGAGCAATGATATGAGTACATGAATATATGAAGCATAAGAATAATGCCCATGTTATATGATACGAGAGCTATAGGTATAGTTGGCATGCCAAGAGTAGAGGGTATACGCAGTCATTTGGGACAAATTCTACGTGGTCCTTCGGAACGTATATGTATTCTTTGGAGCATGTATGAGGTCTTTTGAGACACTTACTTGATCCTTGGTATATGTATATGATTATTAAGGAATTTATATGTGGTCCTTATGGACAATCTTATATGGCACTACGGTGAAATTCTACGTGACACTTCGGTGCATTTCTACGCGGTCCTTCGGGACAAATTCTACGTGGAACTTCGGGATAAATTCTACGTGGCACTTCGGTGCAATTTATATGAGCTGTGGTGACAGCATTTGTGCACAACCTCAGTGTACTCACGTACCTTCAGTTCTCACCAGTGTACCATGGGCTAATAAAGAGACAATAACAAATACAATATATAAGATGCATATGCTTGTGGTGATATTAACGATATTGCATGGATTATAGGATGTTATGTGTTCTAAGATATGTATAGAAATGTTCAACACATGCTTATATGATCACAAGGAATTAGTAACAATAATATGAGTATTGTAAAGCATGTTAATGAAATATGTTTTTATATGATATGATAATATTGGCATATGTATACCTTTTGTTTATATGAAATGATAGATGGTTATAGTTTATGTTTTGTATGTCTCACTGAGTCAACGACTTAGCGTGTAATTGTTTCACGCGTAGGTTCCAAGAAGAGGAAGATTGGTAAAAGTTATGCAAGACAGGTCAGTTTCTCCTTTCCAAAGATCAGATCAGAATATAAATGTATAATATGTATTTTGTAACAATGATAGGGGTTGGCATGTAAATAAAGGTTTAAATCCGATATGTTTTAATCGGTTTTGTAAAATCATATGATTAAGTTTTATAATGTTTATATGTAAACAGAGATGTTATACGAATTTATAAGTATTTTGCCGAAAGTACTGTAGTAGGTACTGTTCATAAATACATTTTTGCCTCAAAATTTTATACCAAACACAATTGAACAATATATGGTTGTATTTTTCTTAATATAAGTTCAAATGTTTTGATATTTTGTAAGGAAAAATGTTTTAAAAAGGCAATGTGACATCTCGGACTCGTATTCGGGTCAGGTACGGGTTGGGGTGTTACAACGCATAAGAACCTATAAATGATGATGAATCCATTGGTCAATGTAGATAGCATGATTCATCGCCCAATAGTCTTTATGCTTCCCACGCGTATCAATTTTATGGAGTGTGTCCATATCAAAATATTTGTGTAGGAATCTGTTGATGAGACCCAAACTATCGTAACACTCTATTTGCGGCATGAATCTCAACAATTGTAAAGTGTAGCAAAGGCGTAACGACACACCACAACTCTGAGCCTTTAAAAAATTCCGATGGCAATAACTAGTAGATCATATCGTCATAATAAGGGATCCAAGAAAACTTTAAACATTAATAATAAAAGTTAGTATAAATAAAGAGGAAAATTTTAATTAAATTTTAGTAATTTAAAAAATTAATATTTATCGCATGTCGACCGATGATATCAATTCTCATTCGTATCTCTTTTAGTTGCACCCAAAAAATTGGTCTCAATACTTTTATGTCGTCATCTAAATAATATAAAAATTAAAAAATTAAAAAAATCCCTAAAAATTTAAAAAATTTACTAAAAATGTTAAAAAATTCCTAGTACCACGCCCACTATTGTAGTAGGACTAGACAACTCGTTACATCAACTTTTTGACCTTATTCGACGATTGTAGCCTTGCAAAGTTCCCAAATATAAAAATGTCAAAATTACGGAGCCCCAGCTAATGTTGTGACACTCAGTAAAATTCTCTAATATCGGAAGATACTGAATGTGCGTCAAATTACCAAATTTATCTGGTAACAATATCCGTCCAATCAATTGGATTAGATACACTCGGGCTACAAAAATCACCTCTTGCTTGGTTGAGTGGTTCGTCACATTAAATTCAGACTCCAACCAAGTGATATGTATCTAGTACCCCTCTAAGACCTCTAATGGTGGCATCTTTCCCAAAACTTGGTGAACAATTCTGAATCGGTCGAAATTGTTGTGCCTCACTACCGCCGCACCATTAATCGGAGCACCGAGTTGGTATGCGACATCTTCCAATGTAATTGTCGCTTCACCACTCGAAAAATGAAAAGTATGCATCTTTGGCCTCCAAACGTTTAATGAGAGTAATTAATGTCAGATTCACTTTAAAACCATACAAAAATATCGTTGGATACAACCCGAATTGTTGCAAATATATAACAATCCGTTGAGGTTGATCTCTAAGAGTCATTCCTTGTTGACGAACACTCTGATCTTTTTTCGGGCCGATCTCGAGCGAAGAAATATGAACATCATCGAGGCTTAACATTTCATCGTGGGTAGATATTTTTTGGAAATTTTGAAAATATTCAAAAATTTTCTTAACAAAACATAATAAAAAAAATAAACCATAAACCTCTATTTATAACCCCATACCCAACAGTCATAAATGACTTGTTTTTTCCAAAAACTTCTACAAGGTGACGAGTTTTATAATGACAGTTGCAATCTATCAGTTGTGCAACGACTACAAAATGCTATTTTTAAAAAAATCAAGGCAAACTCATCACATCAACGTATCCCAATGAAAATATTAAAATATTGACCTACATAGTATCCACATACTTGAGACCAATAAAAAATATTTTTAAGAGAATTTATCATCTTAACGTGACGAATTTACTGTTTACTGTAAAAAAAAAATTGTAGAATACAAATTAAAATCAATGTTAATTTATTGGACCAAATAATTTACCCGCCTAGAATATTGAAAAAAACAATTTCCTCTCATTTCTCAAAATTACCTGCCCCGTAACTTTATCCTCCGCCCGTAGCTGACAAAGGAATTACAATTACAATTACAATTACAATTGCAATTGCAATTGCAATTTATATTTTCTTCTTCAGCTAAGGCTTTTGCCCTTATATTTGACTTAATTTCTCACTTTCACCCCTATTTTATCTTTACATCAATTTAGTTAAAGTTACTCGATTGCATCATTTTATATCATATATCTAACTTAAAACCTTAAATTATAAATAAAAACCTTAAACCATAACCTCTAAACAATAAATCTTAAACCCTAATTTAAGATTTATAATTTAGAGTTTTAAGTTAGAGGTAGGATATAGAATGATGTAATTAAAAAACTTTAAGGGTTAAATTAATGCAAAAATATAATATAAGCGAAAATATAATATAAACGAAAATGATAAATTGAGTCTACTCCCAAGGCAAAAGTGGCCTTTAATCCATTAAGTAAATATAATATTTTCTTCCAATTAAGACAATACATTCCCTTTAGCTATACTAAAGATGAAGAAATAGATATAATTGAATATAAAAGATGACAAATAACTAAGTTATTCTTTTTAAATGAAGATTTATTTTCTTAACAAGCCAATTTTATAATATTTAATGAAATGCCAAAATAGATTATTTGTTTGCAATTAAAAAGACAGAGGCTATAATATGTCATATAACAGACAAAGCAAACAGAATCCAATGAAAAATAAGAATTTATTACATTCAATAATGTTTCGGATAAATGAACAAGTGAAATTGGAGAGTCCAATCAAGATGACATTGGGTCCCAGTATTATTTTGTCATAAACAAAATTGTACAATTATTACTGAACACAAATAATTCGTTTAGTCCTCTAAACGAACCGAACGCACACGAACGAAGGTATATGTATGTTCGTTCATTTAATAAATAAACAAACATAAACGAACAATTTTTTTTTTATTCATGTTCGTTCATTAAGGAATATAGCTTGTTCATGTTCGTTCATTTAAATAATAAACGAACGTAAACGAACACAAACGAACAAAAATAAACGAACATAATAAAAGAACATAAAAGAACACAATAAACGAACAACACAAACACAAAAAACAAACTTATTCGAACACAACAAATGAATGTAAAAAAAGTAAACAACAATAATAACTTAAAATTCATGAATATAACCTGTAACTTTAGAGTTAATTTGTTCTAATACGACAAAAAAATACATAAATCATAAATAAACTATATGAACATAATAAAGTCTTAAAGTTAATTTGTTCAACAAAACAATCTTCTTGAAATCCAAACAACTTCAATAATCTTCGTAACACATTCAACTTGCCCTCTGTTCGAACATAAATGAACTTAAATGAATGACCATAAATGAACATAAATGAACGAACATAAGAGAACATATAATCGAACGTTCACGAACGTAAATGAACGAACGAGTCATTTGTTCGCGTTCGTTCATTTAATTAAACAAACGTAAAATATTATTCATGTTCGTAATGAACTTCCCACCGCACGATTCATTAACGGTTCAATGAAATTTCATTTGATTTACATGCCTAAATTCGTTAATGATTTATTTACAAAAAGAGAAGCATTAGTGAATGATGTACCCATGAGAAGGCCCCCGAAATCTGACAATCGCCACAAGGACCTCGTATAAATAATAGGAAGAAATGGGTCCCTTTGACCACCAAAGTATGAAAATCACCCCATTTCCACACGGAAACAATGGATATCCCCCTCCCCTCTCCATCCTCTTTACATTTCCCCTCACTGGCCAACTCTATCTTCCACCCATTTTGTAGACACCCCACGTGTATACAATCAAAGTCAAAAAATCAAATTTGGAAAATTTCCACTCTAATGACAAACCTCAACCTCCAAATTGTTCAAAATGGGTGCCACTTGAGAGATTGAAGGCCTGTCCTTTCTGTAATTACCAACACAAGCTGATGCAACCTTGGCCAGTCTAAGAAGAGGTTTCAAATCAGAATGAATTACAAGTCTAGGGCCGAAACCATAAACTTCGCTTTCCTTGCAAGCACCGCAATACTCATCGTTTACATACCACACCAACCCTCTCGTCTCTTTGGGTGCCAAAAACGATAGCCCGTAATCACATAACTTTGCGACGAATTTCACTTCTAACAATATGTTCGATGCCTTAATACATCCGTGTATTATATTTGGTGCCACCCCGGCAGCGATCCTCAAACGCCTGTTCCAATCCAGAAACGACGCGCCATCGGAGTTTTCATGCAAATAGAAATCCAAATTCACCATACCCACGAATTCCATGATAATGATCCTCTCACCTGGTGCTTGTGAAAACCCTATGATGGGGACTATGTTAGGATGCTGAGCTAAAGAAAGTGTTTTCATTACTGAAGCGAACCCGAATCCAGCATTGCTTAAAACGAGTCGTGGATGTACCCTTTTCACCGCAACGAGCTCTCCTCGAAGCGATATGGCGGCATAAACGGTACCTAAACGGCCTTTACCTACGATTCTTCTATGGTTAAACCCATCCGTCGCTGCGTCTATGTCGGTTAACTGATAACAGCTCACACAAGACTTGACGGGGAGTATTTCTTGTTTTTGATGGGATTTTTTCGGTTTCTTTCTGCAGATGATGATGAGGACGATCCCGAGAATGAAAAGAGAGACGGAGAGAATAACCAAAAGCAAATCATAAGCGATATCCTCGCCTTGTGTTATCTTTTCCTTAGCTAAAAACTATGGTTTCTGAATTGGGATAGGGGAAATGGAGAAAGAAGAAGAGTAGGGTGTTGTCTAGTCCGTTCCATACACTAACGTGTTGAAAAGGCTTACTTTCAATATATGGGATTGGGATTGGGATTGGGATTGGGATTGGGATTGGGATTGGGATTGGGATTGGGATTGGGATTGGGATTGGGATTGGGATTGAGCTTTGAACATTGAAATTTCAAGAGTTGAAGGAAGGGAAATGGGTCCCGCTTCTGTTTGTTTTTTAAAGTACACAACTTTGAAAAAATGGGTTAGATTTAGATTTGGTAAAAGAGTTGATATTCCTTCTTTTCCCCGTATTTGTTTTTGTTGGCGGACTATGGTTTAACAGCCTTATATATTTGTTCCATCATTCGTATATATTAATATAAAAAAAGATGTTAGCTTAATGGAGATGATTGGTGAATGATATTTGTGCTTGACGCTTGCCCTGTCACGGGGCTTACATAGCAAGTTCTTTCGGCCTGTCGAATTCTGCAAAATAAATTAGCTAACTTGTCCAAACTCTAGAACGTGAAATGGGATTTTAAAAAAATCACATGCTGATTAAGACTTGGATAACGAAAGATTGTTAAGTTCAACTTTGCATCCAATATCCAACGCACCTTCTGTACGTGTACCTTCAATAATAATAAGCTTATCAAATTAGTGGACTATTTAGATATCCGATGTTTAGCCTGGACTAAATCTATTAATTCAGCACCTTTTCAATAAACTGTATTAGTCACTAAATTAACCAGTACTTTTAAACTTAATTAAAAATTAATACAATAAATATATATTTTAACCAATGACGTCATGTGATTTACTAACCAAATATGTTTTTAGAAGGCTTTGAATCACTCTTTTACAAAAAGGAAGAAAAAGAAAACAATCACCCAAATATCTTTCTCTTTGGTTTCAAAACTTCAACAGAGCACAAGTGTATACCAATTATTTAAATGAGACATCAGGTGCAAGAAAAGCACCCAAATGGGTGAAATCAAAGTTTGGTAGAAGAAGTAGCGCAGCATGTATTTTCAACGCTTAAATATAGTAACTACTATATAATAAATATAAATTTATCAAAGTTAGGTGCAAGAAAAGCACCTAAATGGGTGAAACCAATTTTGATAATAAATATAGTAACTACTGTATAAATATGTAAGTAAATAAAATGAATAGATTACCCGAAAATTGTTTTACGTAAAATGAATTATCTAAAACTATTTTACGTAAAACGAATTATATTTTCCAGGAAATAGTTTTCGAAAACTATTTTACGGTGTTTTTATGATATTGTGTAAATCATTTTCACCAATTGTTTGATACACTATAATTAATTTTATAGAAAATGATTTACATAGAATGAATAAAGTTTAGTTTGGTTCATATTTTTCAAAAAATAATTGATTCGATTAACGATTAAAGAAAAAAAGCTCGGTTTATTCAGTTAATGGTAATTCAATTCGATAGATGGTTGAATTAACCATTTGAACACTCTTAATTTTAATTATTAGTATTTTATTAACATAATACTAAATTATTATATTAATGTTAAATATATATATATATATATATATTACATATTATTAATAATTTAATAATATTATATTATTAATAATTTATTTAAAAATTTCATATCATATTTTATTATAATATATCTGAGTATATATTAATATAATATTAAAAATATAATATTATTAAAATTATATTATATGTATATTGAATATTTTAATTATTCATATCTTATTAAAATAATATTAAAATATTAATTTAATATTAAACGTAAAAAATAATATTTTTTGAGTACTTATACTCTGAAGTGAAAAGTTAGGAAAATGTTTTACGAAATCGGATGCTAAAACAATTTATAGAAAATAAAAAGGAACTAAGAAAATGAATTACATTAAAAAAATCAATTACAACTATCAAATACTGAAAAAATATTTTTCGTAAAATCAATAACAATTATAAAAGACAATTTTGCAGCATGAAACGCATACCCATATGGGCTTCATTGCTTTGAGATCCACTTATTATTGGTAATGGACTACTGCCTACAACCCACAAAATAAATATAATAAATAACCCCACTTCCTGGAAATGGGTTATAGTTAGAAACAGAGAGAGCTTTGGCCCCATTTGATTTCAAGAAATAAATGTTATTTTATCTTTTTAGAAAATGAAAAATTTTATTTTATTGATTTTTTATAAAGCAAAACATATATAAAAATAAAAAATGTTTTATTAGTTTTATTAAAAATATTTTGTAAAAATGAAAAAGTTTTTTTTTTAAAAAAGGATTTCTTTTTAACTTAATGAATTAATATGGATACAAATCCATATAAATGCAATAAATAAATAAATCTAAAATCCTAAACCTAGTTCAAATCCATATAAATCAACGTTTTCTTCTTTATTTTATTAATCACATTTTTTATCAAAAAAATAAATAACCAAACATATTTTCATATCTTTATTATTGAAAGAAAAAATTGATTTATATTAACCAAACATATTTTTCATTTTTAAAAGTAAAACTTAAAATTATATTTTAAAAATAAAATAGAAAATATTTTTTTTTCATTTTCTATTTTCATTACTAGAAAAGTAGAGTTCAGTTTTTCATTATTCTAAAATTGAATAATACGTTTGATCATAAAAAAAAAATTTCTTTGAAAAATAGAAAAATACATTTGGTGCCTATCTTCTTATGAGAAATAAAATTTAAAAAAAATAGAGCAACATTTATAATGATCCGTACTATTAAAACAGTTGAAAATGCTTCTCAAGGCGGTAACAAATTTATTTTAAGGATGTAAAACAACCAACCAAATGGAACAAGACAAAATTAAACAGCCTAAATCCGCTGTCTAATAAACAGCTATGGGTCTTGTCTTGTCTTGTCGATATAGTCCCTTTCCAAAAATGATGCAAAGACTCGAGATTGTTTGTACCTGTTGTGGGAATAACTGGTTTAGGTCCCACTGGCATCGAGGACGTACCTTACCCTACCCTACCCTACCCTACCACTTCATTAACGGATTTATTGCTATTCGATCCGATTAAAGTAACAAAAACATTATATATCAAAAGCAGCAGCAAGGTGCTACATGTGGCTTACAAGAGAATAAAACCACTTTAAAATCTCACAACAGACAGCAGTGAAACCAATTTAACATGGCAATAACAACAACAACAACAACAAAACCCAATTCCCATATGTATGGGGTAAGGGGGAGGTAGGGTAGTAGGCTACCCCCAACGCCAGGTTGAGAGCAGCTTCCGTGGAAGACCTCCGGCAGTCAGAAAATTAAAAATTTAGATAAAATGCAATGCATGTATAAATAAATACATAAATACATAGCTAAAACAGTATTCATATGCAGTCATTAAAATCATATGTGCGTCTGTAACGGGAAATTAATCCCTGCATAAATATCCCTGCGAAAGAATCTCTGCATATAGACAGAAACATAAGATCCGGCTAAATTTAAAAGAGGAAACATGATTCAAATATCACCCCATGCCCTTTTAATAAATTTATCTGCCTATGCTCTTTATCTCTCAAACCAAAACATCAAGTGGGTACAATGTTTGAATACCAAAACTTGAGAGCGAGAAAATTTTAGAGGCGTATGTCACACAACAATCCTTTCCATTCTTCTCTGTTTGTCCAATAAACCTATCAGCAAAGCCTTGCTTTTCTTCTCATGCCACACTTCCTTGTTCCGAGCCCTCTTCGTAGTAATAAGGTGTAAATTTTCCGTCCTTAGCAGCAGCTTTTCGCTGGTTCTCAGCACCGGCTTCTTCGAGCATTTTAACCACCCTTCTCATTGATGGGCGGTTGACTGGAAGTGGGCTGGTACAAAGGAGGCCAATGTTAAGGACCTTGTATATTTCATCTCTGAAACAAGGATCGAGTTTGGAATCAAGAACATGGTCCACTCCTCTCTGGTCTAGAGTGGTGCAGGCCCATCTTATCAGGTCCTTCTCCCCATACTCCGGGTCGATCGGGAGCCTGCCTGTCACCAACTCGAGTACAACAACGCCAAAACTGTATATGTCGCTCTTCTCGTTCACACTTAGTGTATATGCATACTCTGATCAACAGTTTCCACAGGAAGATTTAGTTCAGATAGAGTGAAATATAACTTCAGAAGCAAATAAATATTTGCAACGGTCAGTTGAAGGAGAATTATCAGTGAAATGTACATACAAGACTATTAGTTTTTGGAAGATTTCTGATTTAGCATTCAAAGAGCATAGTGAAACCACATAGTAGCAAATAAATCAAATAAAGTTCAACATTCAATTATAAAAACGACAATAAAGAATCCAGCAACAAACCTGGAGCAATGTAACCACAAGAACCAGCAATGACCGACTTCGATTTAGCACCCTTTCCAGTTGCATCAACCACCTTGGCAACTCCAAAATCGGCAACTCTAGCACCAAAATTCCTATCCAGCAAGATATTGTTCGACTTGACATCCCTATGCACGATTGGGGGCACACAATCATGATGCAAATAAGAAAGCCCCTCGGCTGCATCAACAATGATCTTGTACCTCGTCGGCCAATCCAGCAAACCACTTTTACTGCTATGCAACAGATCGCCCAAGCTACCATTAGGCATGTACTCATAAACCAAAAGCTTGCAATCCCTAGTAGTACAGGAGCACCACAACTTGACAATATTCTTGTGCCTAATTTTCCCCAAAGTCTCGACCTCAGCTTGAAACCCATCATCGTGAGCTGGAGCCTGAGCCTGAGCCTGAGCCTGATCTCTCTCAATATCTATGCTCTCGCAACCCATTTTCATGCCTCTCCAGAGCTTCTTCACGGCAACAGCCTCCCCATTACTAAGTACCACCTTGTAAACTTTCCCCGAAGATCCTCTCCCTATCACATTATCCTCATCAAGACAATCCAAAATCTCATATTCACTAAAACCCAACTTATGAAAAGACATCAAAGTCCACTTGGACTTATCAATTGCCCTAGCTTTCTTATAACTCCTGTACTTGAAGTAAAACCAAACCACACCAACAACAAGTACCAGAGCAGCTAAGACAAAAATGGATCCAAGCAACCAAACATAACCTTTATGCTTATCTGCATCCCTTCCAAAATACAAACCACTGGTATGCCCGCACAAACCAGGATTCCCTCTGAAGCTACTTTTG